CGTCCCTTCGACCCGACCGGCCCCGATCCACCGCCCCCCCCACCCCCCCCTGCCGCTGTCTGACACGGCCCCTTGTTGGCTGCAGCAGCCATCGCTGCCTCAGCCAAATGCCTCTCGTTCTGTGGTCCGTCTAGCCACACCCCTCTCTGCGTCACCATGCTTGGACGGACTTCGCTGCTTCGGAGCACCGGCCTCCTTCGGACGCTTGCGACGGCAACCACCACCACTACTGTACGTGCTTGGTGAGGACAGTGGAGGGGGGAAAGGGGGGGAGGGGGGGGGGGAGGGGGGAAGGGGGTGGGAGGGGGTGGCGCGGCATCCCCGAAGGACGGTGGGTGGACTGGTGGAGGAGGTGTTGGGAGGGTGTGTTAGGGTGCAGTGGAGAGGGAAGAAGGGAGACAGGCCTATGTATAGACATGCAGGTTGGCTATGGGTGGGGGTGGGGGCTTGGTCAGGCATGCTGTGGCGGTGGTAGGGCGTGAGGCGTGGCGTGGGCGGTGGCGGTGGGGGGCGGTGCAAAAAATTGGGCCATTGCCAGCGGCGGAACAGAGGTGCGGTGGTGAGAGGCTAGCTAGCTGGAGCCGGAGGGTGGGGACTGATCATGGGGATGGGGTGATGGATGGATGGGATGATGACGGAGAGTAGAAGACTGCGGCTGCTGCCAGTGCTGGGGCCAAGGCGTCGGCTGTGCAGACCACGACTCTTGACAACGGGGTCAAGATTGTGGCCCTCCCGCGCGACGGCCCGCTGGCCTCGGTCGGCCTTGTGGTGGGCGTGGGCTCGGCGGCGAACGCGCCTGTGGGCTCGGCGGCGCTCCTGGCGTCGGCGGTCTTCTCGGGCACGGCCAAGCGGTCGAACGTGCTGCAGGTCCGCAAGCTCGAGGCGACGGGCGCGTCGGTCTCGTCGCGGCTGACGCGTGACGCGCTGGCCATCCACGCCCACGTTGTGGACGACAAGGCCGGCAATGCGCTGGCCCTCATGGCCGACGGACTTGTCAACTGCACCTTTGACGCCCACGATGTGGCGGACGCCCTGGAGACGCTGGCTGCGTCGCCGGTCGAGCCCGAGCAGGCTGCGGCTGATGCTCTGTTTGGCACGGCCTTCCGCTACCGCGGTCTCGGCGCGCCGCTCGCCTTTACCGACGCCGCCAAGGCCTCGCTCTCGCCCGAGGCCATCGCCGACTTTGCGGCGGCTGCCGTGACTCCGGCCAACGTTGTTGTGACCGGCGTCGGCATGGACGCCGACGCGCTCGCCGCCATGGCTGAGCCCGTTCTCGGTGGCCTGGCCGCCAACGAGGCCACCGCCGCCGTCGCTGCCGTCTCGGCCCCGTACACCGGTGGCGAGTTTGTGGCGCCGCTCAACGGCTCGGGCCACGCCCACGGCGTTGTCGCTTTCCCGGTGCCGGGCCGCGCCTCGCCGGCTGCCTTTGCCTCGATGGTCGCTGCCGAGCTTGTCGGCGAGACCGCCCCTTTCTACGTCAACAATGAGGTCTCGCTCCTCGGTGCCTTCTTTGACGGCGAGGACGTCGCCCCGGCCGTCGCCGCCCTCAAGGCCGCCGCCAAGCCCGACGCTGACGCCCTCAAGGCCGCCAAGTCGCGTGCCAAGGCCGCCTTCCTCATGTCTCTCGAGTCCAACCAGACTGCCCTGGCCTTCCTCGGTGACGCCATCACCGCTTCCGGCTCTGTCCTTGCCCCGGCCGACGTTGTCAAGGCCATCGACGCCGTCGACGCCTCGGCCGTCGCCGCTGTCTTCAAGGACGCCTTTGCCGCCAAGCCCACCCTCCTGGCGGTCTCGGACAACCTCCCGGCCTACGCCGACGTCGTCAAGGCGCTCTGACTCGGTAACACACACACACACACACACACACACACATACAGATGCTCCACCTTTATTCGTCGAGTGGATCAAGGTCGGCGGCGTCGCTGCCGAAGCTGTCGCCGCCCTCGGCAGAGCCGGGCGCATCCGTGCCTGCCAGCCGCCGCTCCATCGTCTCAAGCGCACGGAACGCCTCAAGAGCTCGGGCCGGGCATCGGCGGCGTGGGGGCTGTTACGGACGTACACGGCATCCCAGAGTTCCACACCGTTAACCATGTTGGGCTGTAGCATGCTAGCGATGCTGTCATGGCCCTGGGCGACCGCACAGTCGTACGGCTTGTCGCCGTTCGAGTCCACAAGGTCCTTGTTCGCGCCCATGAGCAGCAGCTTCGCCGCCAGCTGCGGATGGCCGTAGTACGCACACCGATGCAGCGGTGTGTAGCCAAGATCGGTGGCGCAGTTTGGGTTCGCTCCGCCGGCGAGTAGGGCACCGGCCACATTGGCCAGCCCCAGCCACGCCGCCTGATCTAGCGGCGTCTCGCCCACAACCGTGCGCACCTCCGTCGGGTGACCGATGCTCAGCAGGAACTCGACCACCTCAAGCGACGGTGCCTGCACTGCCAGATGTAGCAAGGTCAGCGAGTCGCCGATCCGCACCACCGGCGAGGCCTCCATGCCAGCCCGTGGCTCCTCCCCAGCCACCGCCCGCACAACCTCTCGTGCCGTCTCGACATCCAGACCAAACGCCAACCGCGCCAGCAGCTCCTGCGAAATAAGATGGAGGTCATTGTCGTCGTCGTTCATCCCGTCGTTGTGTATCACAGAGTGCGGTGAGTCCGACTCGACCGCAGGCCCCGGTCTTTGCCTCCAATGGAAAGAATCCTGTGTGGAAACCGACCGAGTTTCGCCTGTGGCCTCGCCTCCCTTGGCAAGGCAGGTTGGATACTGCCAGCCTGGCCACCGTCTACATCTTCGTCGATGTTGTCGGCAGGCAGTTTATATTGCCACCGCCTCACCTCCGCTCGTCTGGATCGGCATGGACGCACTGCTCGTCTACCTCGGCGCCGCTGCCGGCCTCCTCGAGCTGATGATCAGGTGGGTGTAGAGGTGCGATGCCATGGCCTACCTCTGGCACCACGACATGCTGCAGGCTGCACTCGGCAAGTGCAATGAGACGCTCGTCTTTGTCGCCGTGAGGTTTACCCTTTCGACAATCATCGCCTACACCAGCCACAAGCGCAAGTTCTACTGGCCCGTGTATCTGTCGCCACGGGCCGTTGACTCGAACGGCGGCAGCGGTCGGACCGGCTGGACTGCCGCGCCGGTGATCGGGTTGTAGCCCGAGCGCGAATCACGGTCAGCGAGCGCCTGGGCCCGGCTCGCCCAACGTCGCCGCGCGTCCTCGTCTTGAGCACGCAGCTTATCGCCCTCGGCCGACGCCAGGTACCGCTCGCTTACAATGTCGTACGCCATCCCCGGAGCGTTGTGGTTCGACCGCACCGTCGATGACACCCCGCCGGATGCGTCTCGCGCACTTCCTGATGCTGGCGGCGCACCCCAGTCCGACAGCACCGAGCCGACCGACTCGACCGCGCCGACGCCTTCGCGAGCCGCCGCCCCACCGCGGATCGCCGCCTCGCGCCGCGCCCGGGCCGCGCGCTTCGTCTGCAGCAGCGCATCGTCCGCCGCACGCTTTGCCGCCTGCTCTGCAGCAAGCTCTGCCGCTACGTCGGTCCGGAACTGCTGCTCTGGAGCCAGATACGCCGGCGCCGACGGAGGCGCCGACGCCAGATACTCGTCACCCAGCACCGGCGCGGGGCCACCAAACCCACGCCGCCTCCCGCGCAGCCGCTCCTTCTCCAGCGCCTCGCCGTACGAATGCGATGCAATCCGCTTCCGCTCCTCCACTTCTTCCACAGGCTCGATCGGCCGCATCTGATTGATCTGCCCCTCGTCAACCCCCCAAACCCCCCCCCCCGTCCCAGCGCGCCAAGCCGTCGCCGTTACCCTCTGTGAGCACTCGCCAACACACTCGGCCGCAACACGGTCCTGCTTCAGAGCCTCGGCTACCTGCCAACCTCCTCTGCACCAGACCTCCCACCACATGCCCCTCACGCCCCCCCATCGTACCATGGTCCTTTGCTCTCCCTCTCTCTATCCGCTTCGAGCGCAACACTGAGAGCGACGAGTGTGTCGCCACACGGCACGCCGCAGGCAGCTTTCCCTCACACACCCTGCCTGTGGCAGACAGGGCATGCTCCCAACTGCGGCTGTGGCATCTGTGTTTGCTTTGCATGCTACAGTTGTCCCGCCTGACGCTACAGCTTGATGATGCCCGGCTTAGTAGTCATCGATGCCATCGTCGTGCTGGACCTCCAGCTCGCGGAGGCGGTTGAGCAGGTTCTGGTTCTCTGCCTGGAGCTCCTTGACCTGATCCGCCAGCTGCTTGTTGTCTCTGCGAATGGCCTCCACATCCACCCCCGCAGGCGCTCCCAGCTGCGACCGGATCCAGTCCAGAGCATGCGGCGGCTTGTCGGGCTCCTCGTAGAGCAGGACGAGGACCTTGGTCAGGGCGTCGATGACACCGCCGCGCTCCTATATACAGCCACACCACACAAAGGCAAGAACATATGCAATATGCACACAAGGGGTAAGTCACGAGTCTGCGCGGGGGCGGGGGGGGGGGGGAGGGGGAGGGGGGACGGCTACGCTTCGGCAGAACGACT